AGTTTCCTTCGTGGGACACAATGGAGCAGGAATCCACACGACAGCAGTGCAAATCTGCCGTGAGATTTCCACCGTGGGACGTGGCGGAACAACTGGTCCCTAACTAACCGTCCCTCCGTAAGTGGTTAAAAACGAATCAGAAGGCATCCCTGTCTGGGATGTTGGACACCAGGCAGAGAATGGGCGGGTACTGCAATCCGCTCAGCCCTTTGCCCTCCGGTGTTTTCCGGGCCGCGGGGCCCCATCAGAGCGGCTCACGTTCCTTTAGCAGGCTTGCTGATCCACGGAGGCAGAAAAACGGGTTCTCCTAAAGATAGAAACAGATAGAAATAAACGTGTGCATTTTCCACTAAAAGGAAATGGGCCCCCTTGGTCGGGGGACAGACTGCAGGCCTGGACACCCTTTGGGTCAGGCAGTAGGGAAGCAGGTGCTCTGGGGGTGATGGGGGCATGTCACGTGGCAGAGTCAGCTCCAAGGGGCTCTTGCCAGCCAACTCTGGGACGATTTAAATATCAAAATAACTATTTATAATAATAGATTACAACCCATTGATATCATAAATGCCTATGGGACCACAGTAATATAAACAAACCATTGAATAGAGATGTAAATGAAAAAAAAAGGAGAATGAGGAAGGAAGGAGAGAAGGAAGGGAGGGAGGGGGGAGGAAGGATTAAAATATCACCAATAGACACTAAAATTAGTGGGTAAGAGTTTGATGAAGAACAAGGTATTTACATTCTTTGTAATTATTAATAACAAGGCAAAAGAATACATTGGGAACTCCTAGTGGAATAATCTTACAGTAATGATAGAAATGAACATCACAAATATTGAGACAAACCCAACATCACAGGCCTTTTGACCTGATGCTGAGAAGGACACAACATCACTTTACTGATACTCCTCTCAAATGCTCTGTATGAGTAATGCAGGGACGCATGACATGCCCTGCCCCGGCTCGCTTGAAGCATTGTCCCATAAGCTGAAGGGTCACAGGTTGGATTCCCAGTCAGGACAAGTGCCCAGTGTCATCTCTCTCTCTCTCTCTCTCTCTCCTCTCTCTCTCCCTTCCTCAAAGGAAAAAAAAATTTTTAATGGATGACCTGATTTTTTTCTCAACATATCTAAATGAGCAAACTAGAAAAGTTGGAAACAATCCCAGCTTATTAATAAAACTTATACCTATGTTGTTCCCAGAAAGATGTAAGATAACTAAAGTATAAGTTATTATGCTATGTTTTGGAATAACTTTAAACTCAGAAATAAGTCTGTACCAAAACAAATGAAAGTGTCTCTTATGGTGAAATATTATTATAGGAACAATAGAAAGTTATAAAAATGAAAATTTCTAGAAAATATATTTATACTCTTATTGCATTGTCTTTAATTAAGAAAATCTATGATACTTTTATACTCCAAATAGAATAATCTTCAGATTCTACTAACATATAGCAGAGGTTTGTGGGAGAATAAGAACATTATTTTATGAATTAGCAACCTGTCTACTGACCCCCAGGAGAAACCTTCATAAGTAGAAACTCTCATAAAGGTCTCAATTTTTTTTTTAAAGAAAACTCATGAACAGTGGAAAATTCTGAGAAAAGGGAAAATAAGAATACAATTAACACCTGTATATGAATTGACTGTTGACAAGGCACTTCGATATACAACCAACCTTTGAGGTAAGTAGGTTTCAGTTATTCATTCAATGAGGTTTTTATTTCGCAAAAATGCCGAGGATGCCAAGAAAAGTCTGTTCTTGGACCTTGTTTCCATGTATTCTGAGAATAAATAACAACATCACACACAAGTTGTTTCAGGGGCTGGCTTTTGTTCAGAAGAAGCACAAGGCATTTCTTAAAGTCCATTCTTTACAGAGGAGACAAGAGGTTTCTGAAATCCCCTTTGGATTCTTTGGAATTCTTTCTGACTGAGCAGCATTTTTAGTTGAGATAAGTGTTCCTTTGTTTTGCTCACGTCCTTGGCGGAGCAGGTGGGTGCTGACCGTGTGGATGTAGGTGTTCTGGGAAAAGGAGGAGGGCTCTCACCTTTGCAGCCAGACTCCGGACTCAGCAGTGGGCTCTCAGGTCTCCTGCTCGGTTTTATTTTAGCAGAGTTGTTTCTCGTCGCTGGTAGGAAGCAGCTCCTTTTACCATTGTTTCCTGCTCTGGTGTGCTTTTGACAAGTCATCAACAAAATAGTTTGAGAGCCTTGTACCTCGTGATAAGTTTTGCTTCTTGGAAATTGAGTACATACTTTTTTTTTTTTTTCCTCTTAACAAGTGTCTGTTGCTGGGTGTCAGTTCTAGCTCAGGCTCCAGGCACATTCCGGATTTACCCGGCACCTGCAGCTGGAAGCAGTATGGGCTTGCCCCTGCAAACAAACGTGCTCTCATCGGAGCGAGCAGCACTGCGGGCCCAGAAGCAGTGGGCCTGACCCAGGTGACCATCTCGTGGTTTCAGCCACGCTGCCTGCATGCACGTGGCTGAAACCTGCTGAGAGCTTGTCCTGGATTTTACTGTGAAGAAATGCCAGACAAACCCAAACTTAGCAACACTGTACAAAATACATGGCTTATACTCCTCTAAAATGTCAAAAGCAAAGCCCTAATAGAAAGGGGGGGAGGCTGTTCCATATTGAAGGGTGCTCGAGGGTCCCATTGTATAGGTACACGTGCAATCCTGAGTGGGGAAAACTGACTGTAAGGGACGTTGTGAAAACAACTGGTAAAAGTGGAACATTGGCTGTGTATATGTGTGATCTGTGTTCGCCCATAATTACATGAACCTGAAGAAGGATGTGAACCAAGTTGTTAACATCCGTTCGTTACTTGGGTAAGAGTAGAGATGGGGGGTGAAGAGGGAAAATGCTCTGATTATTTTACAAAAGCACGCAGGGCGAAAGCATGCATGGTGTGATTCTGTTTTTGTTGACTGACATAGAGCTGTATGTGTACATAGATACATAAATGAATTATATAAAGATGGTCAACAAAGGTTAATAATTGTTAAGATAATGGGAATTTGAACTTTTTCATTTTTAATACTTAGGTGTAATATTTTTAAAAACTTTTTTCAACACACATGTATTATTTTTATAACAATACTAAAAAGTAATTTTCCCCTGCTAAAAAAGGCAAGAAAAAGTCACTTGGGGGAAATTACAAGAAAATTTTGGATTCGATTTTTTTCTGTCTCCCCCAGTTTTTCTTGCAGTGCTGAGTTTATTACTTTCAACACCTTCGTGTTTCGACACATGTGTCCAGATGTGCTGAGCATATGTAAAAATGGGAGGGGGTGTCTGGGTTTCCAAGGTGTTCTGTTGGTGTGGGAGCTTCAGCAGCTACTCCCTGCCACCTCCGGACACTCGGAGGAAATCCCTTTCAGGACCGGGTCCCTCGGACCTCTCTGCACTTTGAAACGACACTGGGTACACCGTCAGACCTGAGTGTGTCCCTCCTTCCCTGTGGGTTGCCCGGAGGCGCTCTGAGGATTAGAGAGGTGGGTCTGTGGAATGCTTGGTGCAGCTCAGATGAAAGGAATGAAGCTCTAGTTTCATTGATGATGTAACTCCTGTTGTCAGTGGTCCCTGTGTCAAATGACAACAGGGAAAGGGCCACTGGAATCAAAGACACAGCCGTCTGTCCAGGGAGGACCCGGTGTGGGGCTCTAAGGGCTCCTGTGGTGGTGGTGGCTTTGAGCTTCAGAAGGGTGGGCGTACAAAGAAGAAAAAGAGTTAATGTTGCCCTGGCTGGTGTGGCTCAATAGATTGAGTGCCATCCTTGGAACCAAAGGGTCACCTGTTCGATTCCCAGTCAGGCACATGCCTGGGTTGTGGGCCAGATTCCCAGTAGGGGGTCCATGAGAGGCAACCACACACTGATGTTTCTCTTCCTGTTTCTTTCCCTCCCTTCCCCTCTCTAAAATAAATTAATTCAATCTTTAAAAAAAAAAGAGTTAGTGCAACCTGCTCATTCCATGCTTCATAGGCTCCTCTCCTTCCCTGACCATCCTCCTGGTGTTTTCCGGAATCCCCTCCCGACTGAACTACTTGCACTTGAATTTCACCATTTACTGCAACTGGAAACACCATGTGTTTTCCCGCCAGGCCCATTCTGTGAGAGGCCAACCCCTCTCGTTCCGCCTGCCCCAATTGTCACAGCCCTGGGAACCATTTTTTCTCTTTCCTCTGAAATCGAGATGCTCTTCTCTGCTCATTGAGCAGTTAGTCAGACTCTTCCCATCATGTGGTGGGCTAGGGCAGAAAAAGGGGCAATCAGACACATCTACTTGGCCTCCAACCCTGGCTTGGGTACTCACTAGCTGTGAAGCCTTGGGCAAATCACCCAACTTCTCTGATCTTCAGTTTTCTCCTCCGTGAAATACAGACAGTCATCCTTGCCTCTTGCATTGTCCTCTGGATTTAATGAACTGAATCTATAAGGAACCAAGATAGGATACTCCAGAAGAGATTGTTATCTTTATTATGTTATTTTCTCTCATGATTTATTTTCTCATGCACCTCCATCTTCTGTCCTGAGCTAGACTGTAGCTTCTCTGCTGTGTTCAACTTTTCATATTGCCTTGCACGTGACAGGCATTACTTAATTATTCCTTATTTTTCTAGAGTTTTACATCAGAGAAACGCTTTCAATTCCAGATTCCTTCATGGATTATTTCTTATTGTGAGGCACTCTCAAAGAATTTTTAGCAGGTCACTCCTTTTCAGGGCCTTGATTACCTCGCATGCAAAACAGGTGTTTTGGTCACTAGTTCTATTGGGCTGGCCAGAAAGTTCGTTTGGTTTTTCCCCGTAAGATGGCTCTAGTAGTGCTTAGTTGTCTTTAATGTCATCTGAAACAATTTTGTTAGATTGTATGGTGACAGCTGTCATGTTGGCGTGGGTTAAAAAAAACACATCAAAATTGGTGAATTTTTGCGTGGCCATTGTAATATTAAGGATGGAATAAAATATGCAACATTTTCGGCATATTAAGCTTTATTATTTCAAGAAAGGTAAAAACGCAGCAGAAACACAAAACAAGATTTGTGCTGTGTATAGAGAAGGTGCTCTCCATCTGACTGATGGAACGTGTCAAAAGTGGTTTGCGAAGGTTCGTGCTGGAGATTTCTCTCTGGACAATGCTCCACAGTCAGGCAGACCAGTTGAAATTGATAACGACCATGTCCAGACATTGAGACCAATCCACGTTATACCATGTGGAAGACAGCCAACATACCGACAACATCCAACTCAATAAGGTTACTGGTGAAAGTGAAAAAAATGTGTCTTTTATTACGGGAAGAACCATATGGACTTTTTTGCCAACCCAGGAGATGCGCCGAGGTCCTTCTGGCATTAAGTGTGTGATCTGCACACTCCTTGAAGGCATGTACTCCATGTTATCCCTCTTTCTGGCCCTCACCCCTTCTTAGTACTACGGTGGTCACGTTAGTGACTTCCCAGTACGTGTGGAATCAATTCTGGACAGCCTGCCAGGCCTTTCACCTCCCAGTCCTGCCTCTTACTGCCTGCCCTCTCCATTCTCAGTCTGTTTCAAGGCCTTTACACTGGCTGTTTTTCATTTGGCTCTCTGCCCAATGCCTCTTCTGCAGAGGCCTCTCGCTCCACCTCAGACTATCCCACACCCCTGCTTTTCTTCATTCTTGTGACTGCTTCCTGAAATTCTTATTTATTTGATTTCATTGTTTGCATTTTATTTAATGTTTTGGCTCTCTACCTTTCCCTCTGGCCCCTCCACTGTCTCAGACCCTTTCACACCCCCGACTAAAATAGTTCTTGGCCCCAACTAGGCCCCTAAATAAATGCAAAAAGAGTGAATGAACTCTACCATGCCTTGGACAGTAATTTCTAGGTGGTGAGCTGAAATCTGTGGCTGTCATGCCTGGTTCTAGTGGACTTCTTTAGTTATGGGTCCCACATGATTTAATTGCTGTAGTTCTGAGTAAACTTGGAGTGGGAAGAAACAGGAATTCCTAAGAATATAAATGCAATCACATCAGCTTATCTAGAAACTTACTTGCAGTGGGAAATTCAGAGACACGTAAAAAGAAATAATTCACTTCTTTTTATTATGGAAATGTCCAATGTAAGTGTAAGGAGATGTGGTAGATAAGAACACAGTGAACCTGAGTGTGTACTGTGGTGGGCACAGCCCAAAGTGGCCCTCACCCTATGTCCATGCCCTTGTATCTATAATCCCCTCCCCGAGTGTGCAGGCAACCTGAGAACAGTAGCTGTCTCACCAACCCAATGTGGCACATTGGGTGTCGCCTCTGCGTGATGATTTTGTGTCATGTATTTTCATTGTGCTAGCAGAGTCATTCTGGGGACTGACTGCCCTGGCTGGTTTGTTGAAGTAAGTGGCCGTGCTGGGAAAGCCCAGGTGACAATGAACTCCAGATGCTCTCTAGGGGCTGAGGGCAGCCTCCCGCTGACAGCCGCAACAAAACCAGGGTCTTCAGTCTATAGTTGCAAGCAGAGTTCTGCCAGTGACGGGGAGAGTGTGGAAACGGATTCTTTTCCAGGTGAGCTCCCGAGGAGAATGCAGCCCAGCCCAGACCTTGCTGGCAGGTGTGGCACCCCGAGCTGACAACCCCAGGAGTCTGGACACCTGAGCCACAGAAACTGAGGTCATAAATCTGTGTCATTTTGAGCTACTAAATTCGTGGCAATTGGTAACAATTTTCAACAGTTTGCCAATATTATTTCATCTATACCATCGTGTTTTGTGTGTGTTTGTGTGTGTGTGGCGGCTGGAGTATTTCAAAGCACATGCAGAGGACTTTTAAAAAGCATAACTGCAATGCTAAAAAAAAAATAAGTCTTAATTGAGAACAAAAAGGAGTCTTTTTTAAAGGCCATCAAGTCAATGGGTCTAGTATATCGATTGGACAGCCTGAGAAAAGTGCTTGTAATAAAACGTGTAAGAATAACATCCTGTGGAGACCATGAGCTAGAGGACAGGGAAGCACATGAGCTTTCACTCCCAATGACTGAGGCCTGCCAGTTGTTTCCTACAAAACATAGTACAGCCCAAAAGTACTTAATTGTATAGTACAGCCAAAAAGTACTTAATTGTCCCCCTAGTGGCTCATCCATCATGCAATATCTAAAACCACTGGAACTCGATTCTGATTGTATGAGGCCCTACACTCAGAATGGACGCTTGTAAATTCCATTTCAAAATTCAGAACTCCTTACAACTTCGTCTCGTTCTCTAATTGCCATTCCTACTGTGCCCCTGCCGCGGCCCCCGCCCTCCACAATAGGAAGCTCTCCCCAACTGGCCCCAAGTTCTTTGATTAAACCAATCTCTTCTCTCTTTGACACAGCGCTTTGCGGGGGAAATTCTCAGGGTTCTGGGCTCCATCCCACCTCTACCACAGGAGCGCTTTGTGATCGCTGGCAAGCAGTCGGCCGCCCTCGAAGCTGGAAACAACGGAGACTCTCGCAGGGTTGTAGTGCAAATTCGTTAAAGAACGTGCGTCATGTGTGAAGTGCCAGCACGGAGGGGGCAGAACCCTTTTCCACAGCTCCCTTTGTTAGCTCCCACCTCCCACTCCCGTGCACCAGAATTGCCCGGCACCGTGTAGCGCCCACCCTCGTCGCGGGGGATGCAGGGATTTGTAGTTTTTTGGTTCCCAAGTCCTGTTTCCTCTCGCAGCCAGATGGCGAGAGGAGGAACTACACATCCCAGTGGGCCGTGGTAGGAAAGTGCGGCTCGGAAAACCGAGCAACTGTGCTGGCTGCCTTCGTTTTCCGCTTCCCACGGGCTGTGCCGACCTGCGGAGGGCTCAGACCTCTTGGCAAAGCCAGGGAGGGTGCGAGCGCAGAAGCCGATCGGCCAGAACTGTGGGGCAGAGCTGGGCAAGAACGCAGGGGTAATACCTCTGCGGCCGTTGGGGCTCGAGGGGGAAGGAGAGAAATAAAGCGAGCAAATTGTGAGCGCCCTTGTCGGAGAAGTGAGAAAGGGCCCGGGAGGCAGCAACCCACGCAAAAGAAGCGACCGGGTTTGTCCTTCCGCGGGAGGCAGAGGCCGGGGCCGGAAGCTACCCAGACCGCTTAGCTCTCCCCGTGGGAATCTTGGAAACCTGGCCCGAGACCCCAGTTCGCAGACCCCATCCCAGAGTTCGGCCTGTCTGGGGTAGTCCCTCCCCATACGGTGGCCAGGGCGTCACCCCATTCTTGGGCAGCAGTAACCCCCCACAACTCGACCACGTGCCCCGCTGGGGGAGGAAGGGGAAGGGCTGGGACTGGCCAAGGAGGGTCACCTCTCTGTGCGGGATCCCCAGGTCCCCGGAGTTGCAAGAATGGGTGTGCGAGTCTGTGTGTGTGCGCGTGAGTGTGTCTCGAGGCGGCAGCTGCTGCGGGGAATAAGCCCGAGGGAGAAGCAGGGAGCCCTCGCTGCGGCGGGGCCGAGCCATCCTCTGGCGATGCCAGAGGGAGCACTGCGCCTTTGCTGGAGCAGAGCGAGGGCGGCTCGGAGGGAACTGGGGTCCGGACCGCGTCGAGCCCCGTGCGGGGCTTCGCCGCGAGAAGGAGGAGCGGGAGGAGGAGCCAGAAGGGCGACGCCTGGGCCGCCGCCTACCGGGCCGGCAGGAGGCGGACCCGATCGGAGCGCTGCGCGCGCGCCGGGCTGATTCTTGCAAACAAGTGTCCGTGGCGCTCTCCCCGCGGCCCTGGGACGCGCTCCGCCGCCCCCAGGCGGCCCTCCTCGCGCCAGGCCCGGTTCTTATGGGGCAGGAAGGAGCGAGGAAGCCCCTAGCAGCGCAACCCGGGAGCCACTGCTGCGACCCTTGGCCCAAGCGGCCCGGACAGCCGGACAGCCCCGTGCGGGGGCCGTGGACTCGGCTTGGCTGCCAGGCGCGCGGGCGCGGGGTCGCAGCGCGAGCAGCTCCCGGGCTGTCGCCGAGCCAGCTCGACAGAATAACGTGCTTGGTGTGCCCACCGCTGGGAGGGGTTGCGGGTTCCGAGAGCAGCCTCCCAGTTTCCATTGCTTTCTCTTGGGGAGGATCCACCGCCGGGAGGAAGAATTAGAATAAACCTTGCCGAGGCGTTGAAGTGGCTTCCGAGCTAGCCGGCGCCGGGGCCGCCGCCTCGTGTCCCCTCGGGGCGCAGCGCTGGGAGGTCCGCGGGCCGGAGCCGAGGGCGGCGGGCTCGAGTGAGCAGCTGTGCGAGGGGTCGGGCGCGTGGCGAGCCCGGAGTCGGCCAGGCGGCCCCTGGCACCTCGCGGGACCTCCAAGCCCCGGCACGCGGGCTGGAAGCGACTGAGGACCGTCCCTCCAGGAAGGAGATGCGGCTATGACAGCTGGGCTCCCGGAGGGGTTAACCTGAGTCTCCTCAGCAAAGTTGTCGCCGAGCTCGGATCCCGCGTAGGGGCCGCGGCGCCGCGGCTCGGGGTGGTGGTGGTGGCTCAGCAGGGCCCGCGTGGCCGGGGGGCTTCTGGGGGTGTGCGCCCCACGCCGGCTGCCCTCGTGGATGCCTCCCGGCGGCGGCGGGCCCATGAATGACTGCGAGTACAGTCAGATCAGCACCCACAGCTCCTCCCCCATGGAGTCGCCCCACAAGAAGAAAATCGCGGCCCGGAGGAAATGGGAGGTTTTCCCGGGAAGGAACAAGTTCTTCTGCAACGGGAGGATCATGATGGCCCGGCAGACTGGCGTCTTCTACCTGACTCTCATCCTCATCCTGGTCACGAGCGGACTCTTCTTCGCCTTCGAGTAAGTGGCGGCGAAAGCTCCCCACGCCGGGCTCCCCTCGCCTTCCCCTGCCCTTCCGCTGGTTACTTTCGTTTCCAGAAGCCTTATCTGCTGAATATTGTTATATAATACTAGCCCTTTCTTCCTCTTCTTCTTTTGGAGGTCCCCTGAGATCATGCATTTCTGGGTCGGGCTCTGGGAGCAGCGGAGAGGGGAGTGTGCCAGCCTTGTTGCTTCCAGGGGCCGGGCGGCACCTCCCAGGTGACTGGTTCTTGGCGCTGTCTCTTTTGAGTTTGGAGAGGAGCGCAGCAGCCCAGATGTAGCCTGCAGGGAGGGGGATGAGGCTGATTCTCAAGGCAGGGATGGAAAGAACTGACTCCCTTTCTTGCTCACAAGCTGTAAGGCATCTTGTCAAGCTCCATTGACTTAGTCTTCTGCACACCATCACCAGATGATGGAGAGCCTTGGTTATTTTAGGTTGCAAAGCGTAGGCACTGGAGGTGGCCTGGAAGGATAATTTCATTTTTTGTTCTCCTTAGATGTTCACTGCTTGAACAACAATTGCTGGTTTACTACAGTGTTTCTAAACTGTTCACTTTTTAAGAAAGTTTCAACAACAAAAAATGTTCTGAACACTTTTGCCTCCCCTCCCGTATGTGGGAACAGGCGAAAGGAGATTTGAGACCTGTTTAGAAGAAGCGTGGCCCCGCCTGGCAACTTTCTCCTTCCTGAAACTGCACTTGGGGACTGGAGCGCTTTTATTGGGGGGAAAAAGGCATGTGCGTCTTGGCTGTTTTCAGGAAAATCAAATCGGCCAGTAGCAGCTGTCTTCCTGCCAACTAATGAAAGATCGTATTTATTAATGATATTAGATAAAGCAGTTTAACCACATTCCAGAATCAATTTCAGTTGCTCTTATTGGGTCCAACATTTGCAATTCGGCTTCTTACATAATTCCCGGTATCTTACGCTCAATGAAAGTTGTAGCTCCTTCCCTCCAGAATTAGAAAAGCAATATATTTCTGGGAGTTCTTTGTGCTTCCTGGGTCCTGGTTGTTGTGGGGCCTGATCCCCTGTGGTCTGCTTCTGTTGGGTGAATGAAAACCTTTTGTGTTTCTTTACTGTCGTTTCTGATAAGTATTAATAGACTCTGATTTTGTGCCTGGAGTTTTTATTCCAAATGTTGTTTCCATGGGAGATTAATGATCTCTTGACAGTGTAACAGTGTAATCTTTTTTACTTAAGTACCTCTGACTGGCTGTGGGGAACATACTGTGCGTGAATGGTACACTAAGATGAGCAATTTCAGGTGTGCTACAGTGAACAATTTCAATAGGACTGAGTGAGAACAGGTGAGGCAAGAGCTCAGCCCGAGCTACTCCCCTCCCCCAGGCCTTCTCACAGACCGGCCCTCCATTGCTGACTAGGTAACATTTCCAGGTCTGTCCTAGCAGTTTCACTTCTGTGCACAATTGAGACTAGTTGGTGGGGTCTGTCAGGGAAACTGGGGACAGGAGGGGAAGGCTGTGTGTGACAAGGCTTTAGGTTTAGGAATGGCAGGAGAAATGCTGTTCTTTCTGCTGCTATCTCCATCAGCAGCTCCCTACAGACCTGGGGCTCCCTACACACCTGGGGAACTGAGGAAGGGGCCAGATGTGCCCGGGGAGTCTGCATTCTGAGACGTAAATTAAGGCACCGGAAGGATGATGCCAGGCGGTCGCACCGAAATGCCATCCTTCTGATGGCGGCTTCATTATAGGTGGTCCTCTAGAGGCAGAATGGTCACTATTAGGTTCCTAACATTAAAAAAAGTTTTGAAGGGCTCTCTATTGGCATTTTTGCTTCTTCTTCTTCTTCTTAGCAATTTTAAGAGTGGAGAAGATGGGTTAATTTTGTGATTGTGTTGCAGAGTGTCAGCCACAGGTGTCTTTCACGTAGAATGATGCATATTTCATTTTGAATATCCCCACTGTATGGTTAGCCACCGTCCTCCACCCCCAGTTATCACTTACCATCTTGTATTTTCTTCATTCAAACATTGCTGTTAACCAAACCACGATAAATGGATTTTTTCTTTTTTGTCTCTGGATGCATTTCTTCTGAGAGTTCCCCGAAGTCCTCGCTAGCAGGTTGTCATGGCTCTTTCTCTGCATCAGCGCTGTGTTAACTGATGGCTGTAGAAATAAACAGGGGCACTGGGACTTTTAAGCTACCATGGGTAGCCTTCACTTTTATATCAGCTGTGCGTCTGTGTGTTTGATCTCCATGAGGGTTGCTCGTACAGGCAGTTTGACATTTGAGGAAGGTAGGCTCATCCTAGCACGAGGGCTCGGCTGAGAAAAATCATAGGGCTATTCAGAATATAGAATACGATGGCTTGGCGAAGAGTATTTATCACTGCATTGTTTCTAAGTCCTTTATCATTGCTAATTATAGAGGGAAAATAAATAAGTTTGGCTAAATGAATTTGATAGAGACTCAGAGAACCAATTAGTTACATGCACAGGCAGTGAAATACTAATAGGCTAAAAGATAAGAGAGATCAACAGAAGGTACTAGTCCCGTCTGCCAGCTCCCTGCCTTCTCTGTCCTTCCTTTAGCAGTTTATTGAGCACATACGACACGGTTGCCTATTCCGATTAATTTCATGCCTATATACCTTGAATATCAGTAGCATTTGTTGTCGCACATCTGCCTCCCTGCCTCCCCATACAGCTACACCAGGGCAGATTCAGAGTTTAGAAAGAGGACATGTAACTTCTAAAGCTAGTTTTAGGTGTCTTATCCTGCAACTCTTGCTCCTACCCCACCTCTCTCACACCCAACTTCAAACAGATGGACAAGGAAGTCCATCTGAGGGAAATGAACTTGCCGGAGTGCAGCAACAGGCGTTGATACTACCTTCAAACCCAGGAGAAAGGCAGGGCAGATGTGATTATTTCCGCACTGAAGATGAAGGTACGGGGGTTCGGGGAGGCTAAATAGCCACCTAAGGTAGTGGACTCATTGGCAGCAGGGCTTCTGAAGGCACAGCCAGTGCTGTGGATGCCCCACGGTCCTCCTCCAGCACAGAATGGTGGGTACAGGCATGGGGTTTGGATGGACAGATCCCAAGATTCTTACTAGAGGGACGATCTTGGGCAAATTATTTCACTTTTTAAAGCCTCCGTTTCCCAGTCTATTAAATGAGATTAATAATATCTACCTTTAAATGCTGTGAAGATGAAATGAAAAAGTGTACTTAGTACAGTGTCTGACACATAACAGCAGGTGCTCAAGGAATGGGGCCTGTGATTAGAGGAAACCTTAGAAGTGGCCTCTCAAGGATTCTGGCGTCCCTCCTTGGAGAGCCTTTGAGGGAGGGGATGTGGGCTAATAAGCAGCATGACAGTTGGAGTTTATAGGGCGGAGAACATGCAGAACTGTAGCCTGCGGTGAAAAGAAAGACCTCGGTATGCATCTGAGGAGTGGCTTCACTCTTGCCCCTTCTGAGCCGCATCCTACAGGGATGTCTGGGGACTGTCCTCACGCAGGCCCCTAGAAGGAGCACCGAGCGGGCTTACGGGAAGGGAGGATGGATTTCATTTCCATTTTTGGAGGCATCGTCCCAGAACCATGAAGACGGTAAAGAATGCTCCTGGAAGCAACCTGGCGCAACACTCGACTCTTGTCCAAGTAGAGCAGGCCGTTTGTCTTTTGGCATCTTTTATTCAACATGTGGAGGACGGATGCAAAGTGACAGTGCCTCACAGCTGTATTTAAGAGGGAAGGGAGGACGCTGGTGCCACGTGACTGAGGCAGCCCGCTGCTCTGAGAGGGGCTGGCTCACTGAAGACCCACTGCACTGTCTTCCGTCTCCCATCCCCAGAACGGCAGTGGGAAGAGGTCAGTGAACATTACTGACTTCTTTCTCTCTCTCTCTCTCACACACACCCCTACACAGCCTGCTTTTGTTTCAAGTTGAAAACTTGAAAATTAAGTCTTTGGTCCTGAAATATTGGCATTTAATAGTCTCTTGATCACAAGGGTGAAGGAAGGAGGCGAACTGGGAGGGGAGAGTAGTTTCCTGTCTTCAGGAGCATCCTGTGCTCCTGATCTTGCACTTACTTGACTGCCTCCCAATTCTCTGTTGTCACCATGGACAGGTCAGAGATGTGACTAGAGCTGACACACTTGCGAATGTGGGGACACTCTCAAATTCCTCAGCACTAGAAATCTCTTGGTGATTTCTCTTAAAAAGCCACGTGCTTTTTCTCTCTCTTCCTCCTTCCCTCTCTCTCCTCCACCTCTTTTTCTTCCTTTGGCTAATCCTCTCTGAAACACGGTAAGTCCCCACTTAACATCCTGGTTGATAGGTTCTGTGAAACCAGTTTTACCATAGGCTAATTCATATAATGAGTAAGTTCCAGCAGCATTTCATCAACATAATAATGACGTGGAATGAAGTTGGCACATTTGAAGGACATGCTGTAATTGATGAATAATTGGTAGCCAGTGGAACTGGGATTATGTTTGCCTTGAGGATGGAAAAGGGGTTTCATTTCCAACAATTTCTCTCTTACAGATTAGAAATCTTTTATTACCCAGCAGAAGGTACTGCCCTTATAATACGTCCGGATCCCATCTTTCCTCAGCTGTCCTATTCAGAACTGCATCAAGTTCTCCATCATCTCAGAAAACACCTAGGAATCGTTCGTATTCTTTTGGCCAAGTGCTGGCCATGCTGTGCGTCATAGAGTGTCACGAGGTTGGTGGTGGATGATGGTCGTGGCATCAGGACCACTGAATGGTCCCCACTGGCATGGCAGATGGTGTCAGGGATGTTTCACAACCCACTGTGGCCCCACTGGAATTTTAATTTGCTTCAGAACCTTAATAATTCTCTCTCGCCATATGTGCACTAACCCACTCATTGTGTGTGCGAGCAACACACGTAAGCCCTGTGAGGACAAGGACTCCATTTGTTTTATTTGCTGCTGTATCCTGGTAAACAGCAGGATCTCAGTAAATATTTGTTGTTG